TTTTTTTTTTTTTTTTTTTTTTTTCGCAACGAGCGAACTCTCGTTTCTCCTCCGGTGGTTCAATGGGCTGGCAACTGTCGGTAGTCGTTGAAAAACTTTTTTAATCTTAAATATAAGAAAAAAATTGATTTACCCACGAGGATACATTTTTGTATTTACGCATGCGTATATGTATGTACTTGCTATTAAACGTCAGATCGCTGCTCGACTCGATCGTCGGAGTCTACTTGGAAACACGTGTCTCTTACATTAAACGAACCGAATCATCAAGGGCTACACGAGGCGACGCGCACAGATTTCACTCGTCCGTTTGCCATGGCTGATTAACCGTCCTACTGAGTAGTCTAAGCCGAACGTTAAATCGCCAATTGAAACGTCACATACCCCTCCACGTGTTCATGCACATGAAACGCAAGGGATAAGGGAAACGCGCACGTAAAAAAAAAAGATTGAAAGAAAAAAGGTAGATTGCCTAAGGGTGGAAAGAAGGTGCCATAAAAATCTTCAGTAAACTTCATAATGGCACCCTCGGCGGAGGAGTGAGGTTTTAGAGTGGGGGCGGAGGGGGGGGGGTTCATTTATTTTCCATATTTTTCAAAATAACCATATCCTTCCTTAAATTCAATCACTTCTCAGAATCAACCCCTGCTACGGTACTAGGGGTTGAAGTTACCCCTCAAGGGCGCTGCGGCTGGGGTCATGTAAAATACCTTTCATCCCTCGTATCTACATATAGCGACGTCTCTACACTGGTAATAATGCCCAGTGGTGGTGTAAGCATTGAGATGGCGAGATTTCAGGGGGATGAAATGTAAAGAGAATTTTCAAGTGTTAAGGGTTCTGGTTTCTTTTTACCATTCATACGAGAGACCTGTATCCGTATGTATGTAGCACGTACGGCCAAGGGTTGGTCGACGTGAACGGAGAAAGTCCGGGGGTATGGAGTGAAATTTTATTAGGGAGGGTGGGGGGAGAAAGAAAAACCGGAAGAAACATAGGGTCCAGAAGAAGGCAACAGGGAGGAAAATTTTCAGGGGTCATGCTGACGCGTATTGTGAACGAAGCAGGAGTGGGGGGAGGGA